GTCCGAAGTCGTCTACCAAAGTAGTTGTCACAAGTCCCAGCAACAAGACCAAGTTGCGACAACGAGGTCAACCCACTTCTTAAAATAAGGCACTTCAAACTAGGATAGGATAACATAGGATACGATAGAATAAGAGATACTAGGGCAGGAAAGAAGTGGAGAGGAGATGAGAGAAAAAGGATGAGTATGAGAGGAGAGAAGATTTGGGAGAGAGAGCACAAGAAAGAGAAAGAAGTGAGGAGATGAGATAAGAGGATAGTAGTCTTGTATGATATAGCATAGTATAGTATACAATAGAGTAGTATAGTATATTATAGCATATTGTACTGTCGCGAAGAATAGATGAGTAGGGTATAAAATTATAGCATAATATATAAATGTACTATAATACACTGTGGTATATTATAACATGTTATATATGATATAGCATAGCATGGCATATTATAATCTATTAAACTTTGCTGAACTATAGCCTCTTTCTTTCAATCCTATGTAAAAATATTATCTTCTTCAAAAGTGCATTGATGCAGTATATTAGGGGACTTTATAGTTCCTATAAAAGTTGGTGGAAAGGGATCCGTTCATTAGCCTTAGAGATGATGAATCAGTGTAGACCAAGAGTAGTTTCGTAGAAATAAATAAAAGCCAAATTGATGCTCAAATTGTATGAACCCACACACTGTTGTCCCTTGGATGTCAGTCGATCGACAAACTGTCTGCTACTTAAATATAGGTTTTTTTCCTTTTCTAATCATCATGCTGCTTTTCATTTTTATTTTTCAGCCTACAGCTCACGTTATAAGGTAAACGTCAATATTTATGCATTAGCGTGACAGCCAACTTACTGGCAGGCATTATCCGAAACGGTCTGCTAATGATGCCTCCAAGGCTGGTCCGAGCCAGACAATGTAGCCGTTTCCCAGTCAGCTGTGCAATGTCATTAGGCTCCGTCAAAGCCAACTGCAATATCAATTCGTGGTCTGGAGGCAAGCCAGACCCAGCAGCCCGACGATTAGCCTCGAAGCCCTGAGCATGGACAGATGCCAAGGCAGGGGCAAGTGCCACAGCACTGATCCATCCACCGGCCATATCACTGAAGCCAGTTGGCAAGCCGCCGGGACTCGAGCTCAAAAGTCCAGGAGGTACCTCGTTCAGGGCCCGGGTGATGGCTTCCTCCTCCTCTAACTCCAGTTCACTGCCCGGCCATGTGGCTTCTTCTTCACCAGAGGCAGCCGTCTCTGTTTCAGCCCAGTCGCCATCCCACGTCAAACCGGATCGACTTTGGCCACCGGAACGCCGGGCACGAGGCTCCAAAACTCCATAACGCTGTAGACCCAGTCCACGGTGCACCAGAGTCATTTGATCCAAGACACTGGTGCCACCACCTCTTCCTAGGCCGGCGGTGAAGCGATCTGGTACGGCGACGAGCTGGACCAACGCATTTGGAGGCCAAACGCGACAAGTCAGACGAAGCTCATTTGAAGAAGCGCGCCCAGATGAGGCGGAATAGGAGACAAGTGAAGGCAAGCGGACAAACGTGGGCATCACTTTATGGGGTTGGGGGAAAGAAGGAAGAAGATAATGGAAAAAAGGATTATAAATCCAAAATATAAATAACGATAAATGGCTTTCTTGTAAAGAAAAAAATAAATAAACCAGAATACTACTAGATGGATAAGGAAACGAAAATTTACATGAACAGTCGTAGCAGACTTATTCGAAGCCACTATTGTTACAAAAACAGTTAAGTCATTTGAATCTATCCGGCATTAAACAGGTATTGTGTGAACACAAAACATCAGTAGCTCGTCATTGTGTTAACTTAAAGGCTGCAAAAATGTGATCATATTATAATAAATAAAAAAGCACAGTACAGTACAGTGCAATATAGTATAGTATGGTATAGTATATCCATTTATAGTTAAGTGTAGTACAATAATGTTTAGTATAGTATGGTATAGTGTCGAATGGAAAAATTCAGTATAATATAGTGCAATATAGTATAGTATAATGTAGAAAAGATTATAGTATCGTAGAGCATACTACACTATTCTGGTATAGTATGGTATAAAATAGTAAGTTAAAAAAATAAGATTATATTAATGTAATGTAGGGAATAGTGTAATATCTTATGGTAAAATATATCATAGCATAATATAGTATAGTATAACAAAAATAGTGAAGAATTAGAATTAGAATAGTTTAATAGATAAAGTAGAGCAAAGAAAAGAATATTAATGTATCGAAGTGAATCGCATACTTTATTGTAGTATAACAATGCCCAATCAAGAGATCTCGATAAGCAGTAGGTAAGCACGTGGGTAGCAAGTTCTGAGTAGCTAAGGGAGTGAACTTAGTATTAGTCCTCTAAGTACACGTCATATATACTGATGAATTATGCATGTTTTTGTTTTAACACACTACTTTAACCAACTGGTGGTTTAATAGATCCTGAGATGGCAATTTTCGTTTTATGTGGTAAACACGGTTTTGATCCAAAAATCGGAGATGATGAAAAGCACAGGTGGAATGAAAGCTCAATTGGCAGATAAAAATAAACAGGGAGCGCAGTTAGCTATGCATATTCCATCAGTTAATAAATTATACTTCAGTCCGTCCGAATTAAATTTTTCAATAATTTAGAATTCAGCAGATAGGAAGTGTCAGCAACCATAAAATGATCCAAAACTGGAATAGGGACATCTGACTATAGAGCCCCGTAGTAGAAATTTCAGGACGCATATGGCTATATGCGAAGAAAAGAAGGGTTTCGAGGAATCTCTTGTTTCATAGGTGTTGAGCTTACTTTCATTTCGAATGAGTGTTGGGTGAAGAGATTCGAAGGTCAGTTCCACCAGAAGATGACGACGGATATATCTTGACCAGCCACCGTCGTCTTCTGGTGAAACCGATCTTCGAATCTCTTCGACCAACACTTTCACT